GGGCAAGTTTTCGTAAAAAAAAATAATGTAATTAAAATAATTTGTTTGGCAATATTTAAGATATTTACACCTAGAAAGACTTTAACAGGTCTCTGGTGGAGAGTACTACTTTGTTCACAAGCAGAAGCCCATATTTTTTTGTATTTTGTGTAGTTCTCTGTTTCATATTTAATGCAGAAGGAGAGATATTTGAATAGGTTTGCTGAAGCATGGAAGCATTGATCATAGGCACCTTTGTGGTTCTGCATCCAGTATGACTGTACATGCCATCAAACCATTCTTGAACACAGTTGTACAGAAAGTTGTATCACATGCAAAAGATTTAAAGTGGTCTTCTTGTAGTTTGTGATAATACTCAGTAACACAACCTTCTTTTTGCCCGTGATTATCTTGTGAAGAGAGAAAATAAAGGTTGAGATGTCAGGGACATAATCTGTAAAACAAAGCTACAAGACAAATCAGACCTAGGGACAAAGAGCTAAGTGCCTTTCAGTCTCTGAAGTGACATAACATTTTACCCTTTTGTGTCCTTTTTAGCAATCAAGATTCTGTTTCCTTTGCATTTTGGTTTTTGATGAACCATTTGGATAGGGGAGGGAAAGAGAGTTTCAAAATGTGATCTAGGTCCAATTAAAAAGATATTGTCAAGGATACATAATAGTTTTAAAGATTTTTGTTTTCTTCACATTTTGTGATGCAAATATAGATGCTAACTAACATTTTACTTTCTGTTATTTTATCTTTCTTCTGCAAGCTAACACTGATATACTTTCCCTTTTCTTTCTGTGCAACTTAAGCCAATCAATAATTTTCAGAGAAGGAAGAAATTCTGGAAGTATTGTAACCACTCTGCTTGTACAATATTGCATTCAATGATGCTGCTTCTGCTGCTATCTGAGAGCTAACCTAAATGAAAAGACTGCTGTAGATTTTGTTCCTTCTATACTTAGATCAATATGGCCAAGCTACCAATTCTACAATAGGATAGACTTTATTTACAATACACTTTCTCAGGCATACAACATCATTTGCTGACACCTTGCAGGTTAGCTCAGCAAGTCACAGAAACAAAAAAGAAATAATGGAAATGATCATAAATACAGATACAGAAGAAAGTAACTGTGCTTCAGACTGTTATTTAATAATTTTTATGTTGACAGTGAGCTTCAAAGATTCTGATTTTAAATATAAGAGCCTTTCTAGAATAGCCAGTTTTGTTCTGCTCTATTTGTACAATTAGAATGGTATCATTTTCATAATAGGTATTTAATCATCATACATTCCTTATTTGATTTTTTCCTTCACTAAAACAAAGTAGCTTGGTTGCAAACAATTTCTTAGCATGGAAATTATTGCAGCTTCTAATTGGAGTTCATATACTCATAGGAGAAATGTAGCACAGTGAGCTGAACCTTCTTCAGTTCAGCGATTGGTTCTTGTGAGTCTGAATTTACTCCACTTTACTATATATTCTTACAAGTAACTCACAAACTTGCAGCCTTCCACCAAATTAATACAGTAAGTAAAGAAGTAGGATCCATGAACTTACATGTTTTTATCCTGATATAAGCTGACTTTCTAGGACATCGTAGGCAAGTCACTAACATTCTTTTTTACCCCCAAAAAATTAATGTGCATTTCCGGGATTGGTGAGGATTGATTAGTTAATATTTGTACAGTATTTTGTTTCATATAATTATTTTTCCTTATTTCAGAGTCTTTGGAATAAATTTTTCCAGGATAAAGAGCTTCGAGCAATGATTGAACAAGATGTAACAAGAACGTATGTAGATCTTTAAAGAAATTTCTAAATATAAATGTAGATTCTGCATTTTTATGTGGTATATTATATAGTGTTTTCTTGACTTAAGATAGTGTAAATGTCAGGATTGTTGAAGATGAATGTGTAGAAACATACATTAAATGTATAAAAATACAGCTTTCTTGGAGTGAAGAATGAGAAAATTGAGTTAAACATTAAACCCTGGAGATTTATTGGTATCGTTGAAGAAAAGCTCTTCTAAATTAAGATATTAGGAAATGTATTACTATATGAAATTTAAAATAGAGTTTTTCATGTGAAGCAGAGAGAAGGAAAGAGAAACAGGAAGGTCTTTTAACTAAGTTATTATCATGATAAAAGATTGAACATATGAGTTTCTGTAATTCTTAACACTTATTCAATCAATAATAAAAAAGCAGTGTGAAATTAGTAAGGGAAATGTCATTCATATAGAGAAGTTAAGCATTTCTATTTTAATTATCACTTTTCTATTGTTATTTGTCACGTATGCCTTTTGTCCTGTGTCTTTCTTTCCATCTTCCTGGCCCTTAGGTTATTCCTGTTCGGTACCTTTCTTCAGATAGAACACTCTGTTCCTGAAAACATTTATATTTAGAGTTGTAGCATTGACTGATGTCTAAATCTAATTACATTCAATTACTGTTTTGGTACCATAGAAAATTTTACTGTATGCAAACACTTTTTATTGCAACTTGAAAAAAGTGGTGATAGTCTTAGTCTGTTCAAACCCAAGCTCACATGTTTTCATTTACAGAAACGAAGTCAGGCAGAAGAAATCATTGCTCTCTGGTTTTCAAAGATTTTACATGTCTGTCCCTAGACCCACTCTTGAATGCATTTTTGCCATGAGATATATAATTAAAATCTGAATATGTTTTCATGTACGGTCTCACAGATGGCATTTTTTGTTTGTTAAAGGGAACAGTTCAGGATGTTCTAAGATTAAAATATATACATCTCTAAAATGTAATTGGAGAATGAAAAGTTGTGTGAAGAGTATGTTTCATTTTTAAAAATGCATATACGAAGTCCAGGCTCTCTCTCTGGCAAATAGTAGAGTGAGCAGTGTACAGCAATACGAGTAATAGTCATCAACAAAATGATTATTTATTAATATTAAATATTGTACTTGAAACAATAGCAGAAAGTTTCTTCATTATCAAAGTTTGTCTGACACCCGTGGAAGGGGCTCCTAAGTCAATAAAACTAATGTTTTAAAAAATAACTAATTCACACTGATCTTCACTTTCAGAAAGTAAGGATTTGAACACACTTTTTTTCTTTTTTTTTTTTAATTATCAGTTAGGGTGAAGCATTTTAGTAAAATTCCCATTCCCTTGTGCTGTCTTTCTCAGAAATGTAATTAAATGTAATATTCTAGTATTCATAGAAAGTTGTATTCTTGGTTTGCCTGGCTTGAGGATACTGTATTTCTAAAACAGTGCTTTAATCATAAAATGACATTCTCCATAAAAATCCGTCCTGAACTAAGAGTTCCCTCATGATCTCTTGTATTTACATTTACCATAATTAATATTTCAGCCAGCTTATTCATGAGTTTTTTATTATCCTCTGTCACAATCTCTGGTATTACTATATCCTCACAGATATCTCTGTGTATTTTTGAGTTTTCTTTGTTAGTCTTCTCTTTCTAAAACTCATAGGGCAGGACTGAATAACAGTCCTTCAGAAATAATCTCTTCAAACCCCTAAATTATGTCGATTGCCATCTGTTGTAATGCACCTTTTTGGTCTCAGCTGTGTCCTTCCTCTACAGTAATGTGATTAGTACAAGTGCATACAAGTATCCAAATGTTGGTCTACCATTACCCCCACCGGGTGCCAGGAAAACGTTACACTATTCATCCCAATGCCTTTCTCAGTACTTCCATGTTGTGTTCAAACCATAATGTCTTCTGTGTCTTGGCTCTTGCATCAGATCTTTCATCCAAGGATTTCAAAGCACCTTTCTAGCTGTTTCTGTGCTTCCTTGTTATTACCTTTGTGAGATGACCACAGTATTTGTTAAAACTCGTAGTTTTATTGCATGTAATCTGTTGTAATTGCTTATGTTTTTTCTCTGTGATAAGCTTTAAAAGAGTCTTAATAAAACTGGTCTAAAGTTTAGTAGTAAGACCTTGGAAACAGGCAAGGCAAATGTTTCTTGAAGAAAACTTACCTCCAGTCCATGTGACTTCAATTTAAAATTGACAATGTTATAACCTTTATATCAATAGTCTATTCTGAATCCTAACGTTATTGTCTTCCATTTTCCCTTCTCCAACTACCCTTTTCTTTTCTTTTCTTTTCTTTTGTCATTCTACCTTTCCAGATTTATTTTTTTTAATTTGTTATTATTCCACATAGTTGGATGTGGTTTGGGGTGTTTGCTTTATAAAATATTTTTGCCATCTAGTTACCTCTTCAATAAGCATGGAAACACTTTTGTTTGTGCACTTACTCATTAAAGTGCATCCTGCATAATCAGTTTCTTTCCTGCTTCCAGCAGTCAATGAATAGAATGCTTTGTGAAAGTAGCTTCAGGACAGTTACAGGTTACAAAAACTTGCATTTTCCTGAATAACAGAATTTTCCCATCAGCTTTTTCTCCCTTTCCTCACACTAAAACTACTTCATACCCTGCCAGAGTATCCAGTGTTTTTGTAATTTTATTAGAGAAAGCTGCTAAAGACAATGAAATGCCTAATAATGTTACATAACCAAAGATGCCACTAAGATATATTGGAGCTTTCTTGGAGCTGAAGAAAATTAGGTTGCCAGCTTTCATGTCAAGTGTGAGATATTTTATTAATCTGGTGTTTAATATGCTTTTAATTTTTCAGATATTCATGAAATATTGGAATTTTATGTGTATGCTCCTTCGAACCCAATCTCTTCAATTTTATTCCAGCGTAGAACTGGAAATTCTGTGAATTTCTTTAACATATTGTAGCTTTTGTACTCTTCTCCTGCATGTTCTTGAAACTGCAGGACAGACTGATGATCCAGTTACAGCTAACAGCCCAACATGGAAGAAAAAAATATAAAAAAATATGAGCTGTGATAGTGTCGGGAGATTTGTTCTTTGGTGCTTAGGTTTCCAGTTACCTGAATCAATTTTGGGAGGGAAGTGGTGTTTGGGCGTTGGGCTTTTCTGATCACACATCCAGAAGTTTTAGTTTTGGTAGTGTGAGACTGACAGCCAGTTGAACACTATCTTGGTGCTTAACTTAAGTTAGTTTTGGGATGCTGTGCTGTCTGGGACCAGAGCCATCTGGTCTATTGCGTTTAACAGTACACATTCACGATCTTTGCTTCAGGATCATTTTGTCATATTGGATCTTTGCTTCAGTCACTGCCTCTTGTTCTGTCTCCTTTCATTCTGTTTCAAGCCAACTTGTGTTCATGACATGGAATTTGAGGAGCAAAGGATCTTGATCCTCCAGGCACCTTGGAATGGACTCACAGGGGACACTGTTTTGTTTGGATTAAATTCTTCAAGTTGTTCATGTTTTCAGTGGATTGGTGATTTGAGAAAAGCTGACAATTAAACCATTTCATTTCATTCCAGCATCTCTCTAGTTTTCAAAATGATGAAAAACATCGTGCATTTGAATATAACCACTGATATCATCGTGTAATAAACTGATGTATATTAAAGAACACTGGTCAGAAATTTAGTTGAAAAACAAATGAAATAAGTCCTTCCAAGTATTCATATTCCAGCAGCACCCACAATTTAGAGATGGGAAAACAGACAGGAGAGATGTCTTACTTCTCTCTTACCTAAAAATATTTGTGGAACACCAGTGGCTGAGATTTTCTGGGCTATATTGTTTACTGTTGTTGTATTTTTTCATTTTCAGTTTTCCTGAAATGCAGTATTTCCAGCAAGAGAATGTGAGGAAAATTCTTACAGATGTTCTGTTCTGCTATGCCAGAGAAAATGAGCAGTTGCTCTATAAACAGGTAATGAAAATATAGTACAGGTGGCATTCATTTACTCAACATTTTCTGTATGGTTTGACAATAATGTAGTTCTGTTGTATCTGAAGTTGTATCCTAATGCTATAGTAATCAAAGAGCTGCTTGTCAGCTGTACAGTAGGAAAAGTAACATTGAATAACATATGCTTTTTCCTCACAAGGCAGTCCCTCAAATTGTTTTCTTTAAGGTTTCTTAGTCATCTAACTTCAAAATCCTTTATAAACAACATCGTCTACTTCAATGCTGGTAAAACAAAAAGAATAAAAACAAGCTTTCTTGATATGCAGCAGCATTAAAAATGGCACTGAATAAACAAACAAACAAACAAAAAACTAATAAGGGACTTCTGAAAATTTACTACTTTTTTTTATCTAGTATTTTAAGTTCTTCCTGAAAGTGATAGTGCTATGATAAATAAAAGATAACCATGCAGCAACCAAATGCAGTGCAGCTGATAAATGTCTATTGACTGAAGAAGGGTGCTGACACATACCACTTTTATGGCATTGCCACAAGATACTGCTTGCAGCATTTTTGTCAAAATGGTGAAGGTAGCCTTTAAAACTTCACTGAATATACATCCAGATGGGATGAGAAGAAATTTAATGTTTCTTCTGAACGTTTGGAAATGAATATGAGCTTGATACTAAATTAATGTAGCAAGACCAATATGCAAAATTATAGATGTAAGTATATTTGTATTTGTTTCCTCAGGCTATTAACTGTGGGGAGAGTATGGACTGTCAAACTGAGGGATACTGTGTGCATGGACAAAGGCTAAACTGTAGAACAGCAAGCTTTAGGTAGGACAAAATCTTAAGTAAATGTGAAGATTTTTATAACACACTATATGCTCTCAGGCATGGTCTCTGACCATCCTGTCCATAGCCAGGAAATTTGTTGTGGTTCATGACATGACCTACACGTGTGAATTGAAGGAACAGTAACTTACATCAAAAATCAAATATATAGTTATCAAACATGTAAAATCTCCATGAACCAGTTACTTTTTATGTTTGACAGACTGCGAGCAAGGAAAAGTCATACATAATAATAAGAAAAATAAGATCAGTGAACTGTGTTTTGAAGGGCACTGCTACAGGAAATATTTCAGCAGTATTCAGCCTCCTCTTTCTAGTGAATATAGGCCAGAGTACTGATGATGGGAAAATGGAAGAACACATCCTCGCTAATGTAGTCTATCATTTATTGAACAAGAAGTATTATTTTACTCTTTGATATGACTTAAAAGGACTTAATTACCCTCTGTTCATATTTAAAATCCTCTTGATTCCTCACCAAGAAATAATACCTTTCTACATGAGGATGGAATATTTAGCCAGATCAAATTTTAAAAAAAGAAAGCCCTGAGTTTCATCACAAGCTGTTAAAGCTATTATTTTCTACTAGGTGACACCCCGTTTAACATAGACCATATTGTTAATAGTTATGGGATTTTATTGAATTAATGAGACTGTTATCATGTAGTAGAATGTCTTGCTGAGTTAATTGAAACTGCAGAGATTATATAAATGGTATTAATGAACTTTGACTGCCTGATGTCTCAGCTTTAATAAAGACTGCTTGGTGGGCTAAATGAACATAGGCAGATAAAAGAACAGGTTCAATTTTGTGAGCCTACAGGCTGTTGACAAAGAAAACTTCTTTACCTCTGTTTTCAACTGGTGTTTGTTGCATCAGTAATGCAGTAATTTCAGGAAGGTTTTGCTACAGGACAACTACACTTCACCATTTTTAAAGCGCATAAAATGAAATAAATTTGGATTATGAAAAATGGTGTATTTATTATCTCTGAAGTGATTCATTTTATCATCCAAGTCTTATGGTGCTGTGCCAAGTCCACAAAATAGCAAATGATTGTGGTTTTCCTCTTTTTATGAATATGTCACTTTTATCATGTGCTTTCTTTTTTTCTTTCTTCATTCTAAAAGGCCCTTTCTTTTACAGGCTATTGGTAACAATCCTGCTTTTTTGTCCACAAGTTCTTCTCTTTGAGATGTCATTTATTTTATGATCATTAGTAGCCTTCTAAGAATTAGCTAGTAGTAAACTGAATGTGTGGTGGTAACAGGATATATCTTTTTCTGTTTTATCAAATATCTATGCAGTAGTCCGCCTTCCTGTCCTACCAGTTTGCTTGATTGTTTTTACCATTTACTTACTATGATGAGGTTAATTAAATCAAAGCATTGTGTATTTTCTTGAAGATAACAAAAGGTCATCAGTAAAGGATCTCTTCCAAAATGCTTTCCCTGCAGTAGCCAGAATGCAAAGCCCAAATTCTGAATTTTATCTTTGTATTCAGTACCCATCACAGGACTGGTCCTGTTGTTCTCCTGCACTTGTATGACCACATGCAAGAGCTATATTTGCTATCATCATTATGACACTTGACAATAAATGATAACTTATTTCTGTTAACATCTGCTTCTCTTCAAAATATTTGGAGAAAGTTCTAGTTCCTAGAGAATTTGCATTCCTATAAAGAGACCTAAAATTTACAATATTTTATAGAAATAAATACATAGCACCAGTATATATTCTTAGAAGAATCAGTGTTTGCTTAATATGCATATATGCATGAAAGTTGTCTTTGTAGTAGGCTTTGTGGTTTTTTGACCAGCATGGACCAGAATTTTATTTGAGGAGGAAGAGGCATTTCTGTCCCTAGTCGAATAGAACAGAATGTTGGGAAACTGTATTAGAGATTTTAAAGACAGAATCATCACTGGGATCATTGAATTTTTAAATAGCAGCTGTAAATACAACATTTAAAGAGAACAGTATACTGTACTTGAGAATGAGTAAAACTTACTATTAACACTCTTCTGTAAGACTGGTGCCAAAATTCTGGTCATAGCTACTCTGAAAAGAAATCGGGACGATTAAGCTAAATCATTAGGCTGACCATTATTCACTCATGATTTGATTAACCTTAGAGAAGCCAATATAATTTTGAAATGCATTGATTCACTTTTCATAGTAGAAGTGCTGTATTTCTGGTTTTCTTTCTAAACCATAGACTGCATTATGAAATCAATATTTTGTTGCAGCTGGGAAGTGTCATAAAATTATCTGAGCTCTGTCAACTTATTTATTAACACTAAAGAGTTTTAGTAAAATGCAGCATTGAAAAAAATATGTATATGCATATTACATTGGTGGCTTTTCTTGCCAAGTTAAAAATCTCTAAACATTTGAAGTATTCTTGTAACTGAAAGATCAGAGGTATCTTTTTGAAATCCTGATATTTCATCATCTGTTTGTTTTGTTTTTGCTGTATGTGGGCAGCCACATTAGGATTCTGCTTTATTATATAGTTGATACATTATTATGTTGGAAGAATGTATGATGTGCTTTTATCTTTTATAACTAATTCTTATTTTATGTCCTCTTTCTTTTTCTTCGACTTCTGTGTTTACAGCTTAGGTGATAGTTTTATTAGATAGTCAAGTTTTTGGCATTTCCATTTCTCTTATTTCATGTTAGTACGTGAAGGTGAATAAAAGAGTAGACGGGGAGCTGTTAATTATCTGAGGTCTGTGAATATGTGTGGAAGTACAGCTCATGTTATCGACAGTTTATTTAAGTATTTTTGCCATTTCTATTTATCTTTTAATTGTGGACCTATCTCCTTGTCTCTTCTATTTCTTTCTTGGTACCACCATAAGACTTTCAGAAATGCAAAGCTCTCAATTTGTTATTTTAACTATATTGTTGTGTTAGGGAATTTTTTATATCAGCTCCCGAAATCCAGTGGCTACATGAGAATCTTGGATTTCACCTTTTTTTGTTTGTTTGTTTGTTTTGTTTCAGTTGAATTTCTATTTAGCCTTCATCTTTTGAAGATTCAGAAATCAGAAGGGAAAGAAAAACTTCAGTCTTCAGTAGACTTGCTGATTTTAGCTTTGCCTAGTGGCTTTTGTGGCAGCCCTACAATTGAGGCCATTTGAGCAGTGTCAGTCCTAAGAAATGGAAAATTTCCCAGGGTTTCAGCTGACAGCACACAAAGATATTTGCATCACCACCACCACCTCTTTTTTTCCTCATCACTGCCAAATATTGGAATTTCCTCCTACGAACAAGTGAGATTCACTAGATGCAGTAGAGATAGATGAATTGATGTGATAGACAACTGTCTTCCACATCTGTCTGAGCCCTCTTCTCTCAGCTCAGTTTGAACAGCTTAAGGAAAATCTCCAATATTTCCAATAAAAGTCAAAGGGTATTTTTGTGGTACCGGATCTGCCCAATATGTATGATGCTGGCTTTAAATGCTACATGTCAAATCACAATTCTACAGCTGAGACCTGTTCGGAGAGTATTCCTAGAATTCAAATCATAAGCTCTTTAACTGAGATCTTAATAATATGCAAAGATAGTGCCCAGAGAATCCCAACAAACCAAAAAAGTGAGATCTGTTAAGATTCTGACTGTGGTAGAGGCACAAACGAAGACCATAGCAAGTAGAGGAATAGCCAGTTTCAGAATTCCAAAAGTTCCAGACAATGTACAGGATTTTGGAGGATTGCATGCCTCCAGGAATGGGGAAGCCACAGCTTCTCTGGGCAACGTGTTCCAAAGCCTCACAGCCATCTGAGTAATGCTTTGTGTACATAAATACAGGTCTGTAATGGAACAGTTCCAGATCTCCTATACATTGCTTTAATAATGAGCTTATTTTTAATATTAACATAATGACTTTTTAAATGCCATATTTAAAAAAAGGTGAAAAAGACTTTGTTTTTCATGTCCATAGCAATGGAATTTTAATTTTTTAATTACCCAAATAGCTGCCCTAATCTCTTCTACCGCTGTGCTGGTTTTGGAACATTATCAAGTAAAGCACAATTATAAATTTTTGTAATTTGTCCTTATTGCAGATCTTTGTACTATACATCATTATTATAATTAACATAAATAAAATTTATATTTATGAATATAGATCTTGGAGCAAATTGCCAGGTGCAGGGTTGCCTACCATTGCCAATTTGTTATCTGTTGTGTTAGAAAAAGGGAGAATAACTTGTTTTCTCATATTTTAGCAGAATAAACACTTGTATTTAATCAGAATTTAAAATAAAAATCATTGCATATAAAACCTTTTTTTTTTAAAAAAAGAAAATAAATGGTCATGTTTTTAGTTCACCTGCACCTGGTTTACTGACTGCTTGATGCTGTGCATTATGAGCATGAATGAAAGGTCTTACTATACTTTGCATCTTTTTATGTTTAGGGTATGCATGAACTCTTAGCTCCCATTGTCTTTATCCTGCATTGTGACCACCAAGCTTTTTCACACGCCAGTGAAGCTGCACAACCAAGGCAAGCATACTGTTTTATTCTTAAAGTATTAAATATTTTTCTTCTTTTAATAAAATATATAAAGTTTGCTGGACTAGAATATATAAATATATGTTCTTTGATTATTATTTATAATTAAGAAATGGACCTAAAAAAACTGTTACATCTTTGTGCTTTTATGGGAATGCTCTTATTTCATTTTCCCTACCACAGCTTCTGAAAGGGGTTTTTGAAGTGTAGACAGTGGTTAGTTCACAGCTATTAGCCAGACAATCCAACAAACCTAAAGGAAAACCTTAATCAAAAAGGTTATGTACATACTGTTTCACCTCATTGTTTCTTATTGCCAGGAAAAGCTTAGTATTGTCATTGCAGATAGAAAGAGGAGTACAAAAATAGTCTTAGAATGAACACATTAACAACTTTCTTTCCTTAAATCTTAAAATACAAAATCAATGATGTAGATAAGTTGCTGTGATTGATATTTCTTTCAGTATCTCCAATACTGTAGCTGCAATACCTGTCTATGGTTTGTCATGGTAGTAACATTAAGTTTAGGTATTGTTTCTTCATTTTAATCAAGCTGTGTGTGCTCATATTTATTAACTTATGTATAAAGTGCTATATCACATATGCTTGTCTGCTAACCAAATTCAGATGCTTTTTTTTCCCTTTATATGTAAACCTTTAAAGAAAACCAACAAAGCACTGGTTTCCTACTTGAATCATTTGTGATATTTGATCAATTTCTTTACATTTGTCTTCTTTTATTATTACCTAAGGAGTCTACTGTTGAAGAAAAACCAGTTTAATTACTTGTGCTATATAATATTGTACCCCACAATATGATTGTCCAAACGTAGTATTAGTGTAAGGATGGAGTTTATTTACAAGTATGTATTTTATTCAGTGTATGTCTTCAGATATCCTGAAATTACCTAGAAAATGCTCTTCACTGCAAAGTAACTCAAAATTACCATATGTTATGCAGAGCATTCTGTTCCACTGCCACTGAAAAAGTAGAGCTACACAGCAAAGTAGATGGAAAAGAGGTGCTGTCACTGATTAATTGCTGTTAAAGTACAATAAAATACAGGCTATTAAAACAAAATAAATTAATGTTTTGATACTGCATATTTGACCGGTAACAATATTTTTTTGTTGTTTGTTTTGGACAAACAGTGATAGATTGTGCGGCAATCAATTATTCTAGATCAAGCATACTCAAATAATACATTGTGACATTCAGTAATTTGTTATTTGGAATAATTAGATGGTTACTTCATTGTAGTGCAGACAAGGCAGCTAATTTGTTTTTGATCTTTATAAAAAGGAAAGACTTCATTTGTTCAGTGGAGTTGCTCTTTTTAATTAAAAAGGCTAGTTTTCTCATTTGCTCTTTATATGAAAGTTAGCTTATAAATACATAATATTACATACAGAACACTGACCAAAAATAAACATTCACATTTAGATTGTTCACTGTTGATTTTTGCAGTGAGGAAATGAAAGTTCTTTTGAATCCCGAATATCTGGAACACGATGCCTAGTAAGTTTAAACAACTTCCTTTACATTTAATTTACTCTTATTTGTAATATAATATTTAACACCACGTTTCTGGATTGTCCCCTTTCAGTGCAATGTTCACACGTCTTATGAAGACTGCAGAGCATTGGTTTTCAACTTTTGAGCATGACAGTCAGAAGGTAAATATTACTTTTAAAAGTACTGTTTTTATTCTTAAGCAAATGTGGTTTTTAATGTGATTGAAGTAATTTGAAGATGATAATGTATTTTCTCTTAAAGCAACTTTTTTTCTCTTAACCATCTCTTTTTGTCATTGATTTTCTTTTCCTTCCTTTTTTTCTTCTTGGCCTGAGCATGTTCTAAGGGAACTGTTGAGTCACTGCCTGAACCACCGGTTGATAACCTCATGCAAGCACTGAGTCAGCCATGGAGCACAGGTGAAGGCAATTCAGCTGTGTGACTGGAAGAGGTGGAGCCTGGCTCCGTCTCTCCAAGACCCCATTTAAGGGCTGACTGCCACTGGGAAGGATCTCTTTCTGGAGATCCCTCTTCTGTGGCATCTTTCCTGTGAACCTAGATCTTTGGATACAGGTGAGCATTGCTTCCCTGTTTGTTTGGTTTTTTTTTCCTATTTTCACCATGATAATTTTTCTAGCTGTAGCGTCAACTGTAACAGAAAGTGAGAAAGGCTGGGGAAGCAACGTTCTGCCCACTGTAAGTGAAGATCAGGTTTATGACCACCTGAGGAAACTGAACATCTGTCTGTGGGTTCCAGAGTCCTGAGGGACCCATACTGGCTGACATAGTCGCTAAGTCACTCTCAGTGATATTTGAAAAGTCATGGCAGTCAGGTGAAGTCCCTGGTGACAGGAAGAAGGCAATATAGCACCCATTTTTGAGAAGGGTAGCAAGTACAGGGGAACTACAGCCTGCCAGTCTCAACTCTGTACCAGTGAAGGTTATGGAAAAGGTCTTCCTGGATGCCAAGCTAAGGCACATGGAAGACAGGAAGGTAATACAGGGTAACAGGCTTGGCTTCATGAAAGGCAAGTCCTGCCTGACAAGCCTGGTGGCCTTCTATGGTGGCATAACTGCATAAGAGAACAAGGGAATAGCTACTGATGTCATCTATCTGACTTCATTAAGGTTTTTATGGAACCCAAATTGCAAAGGTATGGATTTGATAGGTGGACTGTTTGATGGACAAGGTTGTAAAATTGTACCCAGAAAGTGGTGGTCAGTGGCTCAGTGTCTGAATAGAGATCAGTAGTGAGTTGTGTCCTTCAGGGGTCAGTGCCGGGAGTGGTGCTCTTCAGCATCTTCATCAATGACATCAGCAGTGGAATTGAAAGTACTCTCTGCAAGTTTGCGGATGACACCAAGCTGTGAGGCACAGCTGGTACACTTGAAAGTTAAGATGCCATTCAGAGAGATCTAGGTAGGCTCAAGAAGTGGGCCCATGTGAGTCTCATGAGGTTCAATAAATCCAAATGCAAAGACTTGCACCTGGATCATGGCAAGCCCTGCTATCGTTACAAGCTGGGACATGTAAGCATAGAGCACAGTCCTGCCAAAAAGGACCTGGGAGTACTGGTAGTTGGCAGCTGGACATGAACCAGCAATGTGCCCTCAGAGCCCAGAAAGCTAACCATATCCTGAGCTGCATCAAAAGAAGTGTGGCCAGCAGGTCAGGGGAGGTGACCCCACACCTCTCCACTGCACTGATGTCCCTGTTCATTGCAGGGGAGTTGGACCAGATGATCTTTAAAGCTCCCTTCCCGCTCAAACAATTCCGATTTCATTATTCTTTATCTATAGCTATAAATTACCATTTAGGTTTTACATAATTTTCAGTAACTACAGATAAAGCATATGAGATACAAATTTTATGAACTTATTACATAGTCACTTTTATTCTAACAGTAAAGCTGTGAGATGCTTCTCTGTGTGTAGCTTTTCAGAATTCAGTGTATTCAAACATATTTGTTCCAATTTCTGTCACAGAAGTGGTGAAGTTTGAGGTTGAATTTTCTTCCAGGAAATAACTAGGTCAGCTTACAGATTTACGGTGCCTGGGTAGAAGGTGAAAGTTTAGATTGTCCTTCCTAGTCCTTTCATGGCATAAGAAATTAACAATGCAAAGCACATGGATTAATATCTAGTTGTTTGTTCTTGTTCTTTGCAAACATGTATAATCTTTAATAATCCTTTCTTGTAAGTATTCTTTTTACAATCATGACTGTGGATTGGCTACATAATAAAGTCTGAATCTTCACAAATGAAGCAATGAAAGCATGTGCTCTGAGATACGTGTTACATTTTATAGCCACTAACAGTTGGTTCCATTACTCCCAATTGCCATTAGAGGAGCTTCTCCAGCTATGGCATTCCCTAGTGGTTAATGAGAGAAATCTGTCCATGTTTTATACTTGCGCTATGTCCTAGCCTGTCTTTACAACTGTAGCATTTGTTTCCTAAATGCATGAATATATAAGTTGTATTAATATCAAATACCGGCCATTCCAATTCGTGTTCTGTTAGGTAATGTTCTGTGGCAGGATTTGGTGATTCTGTTCCTAATACTTACTCTAAAGTTTTCAGTTGCATTTCACTGATATCCACATTTAAACTGTCAGAAGTGAATCTGATGCTGTCTTATTAGCAGCATAGCAAATCTCTGAGCTGTCCTTTTTGTCTTTTTATTGTGAACTGCATTTCTTTGGGATTGATAATTTATATTTCAAGGGAGCAATAGATGGCTAACCCTGTGTAAGGTTTGCCAAGACTTAGGAGCTCATAAAAAGAAGTGCTTTATCCCTTGTAGCATGGTAATAAGTAGTGAGTATGAGTGTAGGCACAGATATCTGTTCAGATTCTGAATTTTAAGCAGAGAGACTGCAAGTCATTTCTACTTAAGTGTTTTGATGGATTAGTTGTCTTAGTTTATTTGAGCATCTTTCCGTTTAGGCAATGTCTTTCATGTTTGATGTGACTTTTTTTGGAGTAATTTCAATTGACTAAGTGTACCATAATTTTCTCAAACTGCATGAGAGGAGGTAACAAACTTCTCTTACAGATTCTAGTCATTCACCAGATATCTTCATGCCCCAAATCATGAGGCACAGACAGTCTCTGCATTTATTATTATTATCTTCTGCCCACAGAGGTTGTCATGCTTTGAAGATTTCTGTTAATGGTGTTAACTTCTGTGGTTTCAATGAACTGCATTTTGATGGACACCATTTACTTACTCTGTGCTTTAAAAAATGGCAAGCCAGCATATATTATTTGATGCTCTTAACCATGCTGATAGTCACAGTCAGCAGTGTGTCCATGCTGAATTATGCACAAATGTTGCGAGGTACGAGTAACTTCTCCTTGGCACTCATCCTTAGGAGGAAGTTTGTGTTAGTTTTGATAATCTGAATCGTTTGACACTTGAGTCTGTCTTGTAATTTTGTAAAGATGGCTATAAACCCACAGACAACTAATGGTGTAAAGACTGATCTAGGCAACTACCTACTCTTGCTTTAAAACACCTGATAGTTTGAAAGAGTCTAGTGTTGAGATTTCTAGACAGGAATTTATCTGTACTATAAAATTTTTATAGGCATGTTTTAGGTCATCAGATTTCTGCATGGTCAAGCTGAAGTTAAAGTCAATTAGAATAAACAAAAATAATGTACACAGCACAGATGGGACTTGGAAAAAAAGGATCCATCAGTGGATGGAACATGCACAGGCTGAATACGTACAGTTTCAGGCTTTTTTTTACTTCTTTCAAATAAGCAGGTATGTTTATGCAGAAAGTCACAGTAGACTAGCACTGTAGCATCTGACCAAGAAAATAATGTCTGGAACAGTATTAAGAAATGGCTGTACAATGGATAAGCAGAAGTCAGTAACAATAATCTGGCAACTTGCTTGGATTGGATCCGTTGGAATGAATTACTTCAAATGATGAACAGAGGGGCATCAAGTGTGGAATAAGGAAATTCTTCTGCCTCTACCTACTTCCTATGGATTCTCGGATTCACTGTGGACCTTTACTTGCCTTCCATGCCAGCTCATTTCTTAAAGTTGTGTTAGTGGAAAGATGCCATAAGCTACCTGTCATCATTGGCAGTTGGACATAAAGGCTGGAAAAGAACTCTAATATCATTATTATTCTGTGACTGTATGATCATGCAATCATGTAATTGGCATTTTGTGCAGAGGTTCTACAGAATATTGGCCCAGCTGCTCACAGGCCCCACCAAAGCCTCTGTCCCTAGCCTGTTGCTCACACCATTTCTACCTCTGTTCTCTGCTTAGAACAGTGTTTTGACCCGTTCTGCCTATAAAGAGGTCAAAATATTTGATTGCTTCTGTCTGTGTTCAAAGGAGAGTATTGCTGCCCTCTTCTCCTTAGTGGCTAGTACCAGTAGTTTCTGATCTTTCACGAGTCAACACTCTTCTCACTTTTCTCACTTCTTAGGAAAGGAAATAGGAATCCTTTTTTTCCAAGTCACAGATTTATTTAATTGTCATCACAGGCTTGTTTGCTTCGTCTGCATGTTTTTTGACTTATGTGCTAAATTTGGTGAATGTGTTTTATTTTAATGAGATCGCTCTTTTGCGAAGGTCACTCCTTCAGTATTTCTTCAAGCATTTATTCAAATACGGTTACTTCACGTGCATATGGGATTCACTTATTCTACATAGCTGTTATCATGCTTTCAGTGATATAACTCTTCAGCTTGAATATTCTTCTCATAATTAACAAATATTAAAAAAAACTGTTTACTCAATAAGGAAGTTAGTCATAAAAAAGAGGTAGGAGAAATGCCTTTTTTCAAAATACATGTGAATTTAAAGAACATTAGTATTTAAACAATAAACAGTATTTCCAATTGTTCCCTAAGATGCTAAAAGTTTTATTTTAAATTTCTCTTTGGCAGAACATAGAAGTTTTTGAATGAAACAATCCCATTTCAGTGAGTCTTGTTTGACAGACTGTGAGGGAGCTTTGGTCAAGTGATTTGCTAGGGCACCTGAGTTGAATATCTCTTGCTACTACAATAGCATTGAAAAAACCACTGCATTATAGTAGACAGACAGATCACTTCCTTTGCTAAAATTGTCATAGCAAAGCAATAATGACGCAGATTTTAAGATGTAATTTATAATTTATCAGATCCTTAAATAAAAGCATTTTACCTGAAATCAGCGTTCAGCATCACACGCAATTTTCTGCACTGCAGAAAAGGAATAATTAAGAGCAAAAATTTCAAGCAAAGGAGATCAACAAAAGCCTGTTTTTGTAAGCTATTTGATAGAGACTATTAGACATTAAGTGTCCACTTGAATATTAAACCATGTTATAAGTAATTGTGAAATATGTATACTGCTCTTTTTTCCTCTTAAAATGCTGATGGAGAGAGAACAGGATTGACAAGGGGACAATACCATAGGAAATGACCTTGGGGATAGTTTATACAAGAGAAAAAAAAACCTTTCTTTGTTGTCGAGTGTTAGAAATAATGTACTCTTCACTGAGCTGAACCAAGTGAAACTCTTTCAACAGTTTTAGCACTAATTAAGTCATCTTAAAAATATTAACCCTTTGACCTTGATAATGCTTCTCTGTCTGTACAATGAGCAAAAGTACATAAAAATAAGAACTATAAAATGAAGCTTTTAGTTCTGAGAGCCATGATTACAAATTGAAACAAAATATTTGTGGAATCTTCTTACTATTCCAATCTTCTTTAGTCTATAACTTTAGCATTGTTCCTAACAGGTTAATTCTCCGTTTCCCTTTCCTCTATCTTTCTCTTGAAATGTCTGATTTATTCTTTTTTGTTTCTTACCCTCCTTTTCACGTGTTTCCTATTTAGGATGCTTATGCTCCAGTAGTTTTCTTCCTCTGTTTTCACCCGTGTGTGTCATCTTACAGATTGTGACATAGTTAATACAACCTTTATCCAGTTTTAAAGACTTTCTAATCCTTTATTAAAGATTTTTATATATTGAGGTACACCCACATGATTTTCTGAGTAAGGAAAGCCTGTTTAGAAAGGTTATTTAAAAATAAGTTATTTTGTGTTTGGAATGCAGCTTACTGTCCTCTGAGGGCATATATTCTCTACAAAGTTACTATTCATCTGCATTTTTCTGGACTGACAAGTACTGCTTACGTTAAATCTAATTATTCTAGCTGTCAACACTTTATCAGCATGTGGAAAGTAAAGCATGTACATTGATTTGACTTGGAGAATAAGGGAGTGAAATGCCAGGGAAGGGAAATCCACAATAGGTGCCACAGAAGTGGTTACTTGAGATTGATCTTTTTCTGGAACAGCAAAAGACTATTGATATTTTTATATTTATTTGGATGCCAGAGATTAAGTCAACAAATTTCTGTAGGACAGTTAAACAGTAAGGGGTGTTCTTTTTTTTTTTCTTCTGTGCTTGCAGGAGAAAGATGCGATGATTACACCTATGCCATTTGCAAGGCCACAGGACTTAGGCCCATCTATTGCTATTGTAACTAAAGTAAACCAAATTCAGGATCAGCTGCTGAAGAAACATGATATTGAGCTGTACATGCATCTGAACCGACTGGAAATTGCTCCACAGATTTATGGACTGTAAGTGTTTATATCATTTTATTCCTCCTAGTTTTACTTCACTGTGAAGGATGATTTTGTCCTGAAGTTCAGAATTAGAGGAATGAGGGTAAGAAGTACTTAACTCTTAGACCTTATTTAATTGACAGCATTACAGTGAATAAACCACACAGATGTATTTGTGACGATGTTCCCTCTGCAGATCAAGTCCCTGCAGTTATGTATTGGGGGACTTGTAAAAGATTCCCATTGCAGTTATGAAGTATATATTCAGTTGTGAATATTATCACATATTCTACCTGTGATTTTCCTGGAAGAAGTAGAACAACAGGAGACAAAGAATGGAGGAGGACAAAAATTACCAGCATTGAGTAGTTTGCTTAATTTTGTCACCAATTCACTCACTGTCAGTGAACTTTCCCTTTTGCAATAATGGAAGTTTGGATACTGGTAATGCAGGTATTGTGGGGCATGATAAAAGTTATGACATAGTGATGATAAAGTGTCTGTACACAGAGTTAGCTCAGGTAATCCTTGTTCCATTAAAGTGACTCAGGTCTGTTCAGCTAGCTGTGTCCCATGTGATCCCATTCTAGGGGGACTTTTTAGGTCAACTGTGACTTTAGAGGTTGCTTTGTCTACATATGTTTTCAGTGTTGCATACAAACCATGTATACTGCTATTTAGGTGAACATAAAGCACACAACTTTCATGAACTATGATATATTGTGAGTTGACTGTGATTTTGAGAGAGAATTTTGCCTTCATAATCTAGAATTATAGACAGAGTATTCATTTTGATCATTCCCTAAGGGGCAAGTTGTATTTATAGTTGCCGTGACAGAAAAGTAAACTTTTTCCAACTTTTTGCAATGACTTAAAATTAACATCAAGTTTGTCTTAAATCACAAAACAAAAGTTTCATACGTAGAACAGAATTGCCAAATGTAATTGTGAATTACATTTAACAACTTGATAGAAAATGTGAAAAGGAAGAGAAAAAGAGTCTTATTGCAGAACATAACTGCAATACTTACAAATAAAGTCTAATTTGATGTTATCATAAACTGAAATACTGCTGAGACATAATATGCCTTCAAGTTAAGAGTTGAAGTGCAGATTAGTCACAGACTTACGAAGAGCATAGGAAGGCAAATGTAATTCTATAAAACTCGCCGCAGTGGTTTTGATATCACTGGGCTACAGGGAGAGGAAGAATAAACTAAAGAAACTCAAGGTATTAAGAGCAGAAAGAGGACAGTTTGTCTTATTAAAGCATTTTTTTGCATAATGTGGAGTTTTGTGTTTTCTTAGTATGTTTGCTAGTCTGGAAGAGAAAGCAGGCATTGCTGATAAACTTCAGGGATGGCAATGAGTAGGTGGGTGGTGTAAATAACTAGGAAAACAAAAAGACAGGGTTTCTTTGTTTTCTGAAGGCTTATGAGAACGCCCAAAATAAGATAAACCTCAGAAATTTGCAAACATATTTTGGGGCGAAAGTAATTTGTACTGTAGATATTCACTTCAGTTTAATATTTTGCCTTTCAGTGAGAAATAATTGAAAGAAAAAAATTAGACTTAGCTCAAAAACGTGACATTACAATTGCAGAAGAACAGTGCAGTCTGGTGTGGCATAAATAGAACTGAATCTGAATAAAGAAAATTACAGTTAAGGGAATGAATTATGAGAGAGAGCTTCAGGCTGACTATCAGGAAAACCTTACTAACAGGGAACTGTTAGACTGTAAAATAATATTTCAAAATTAACAATGGAAAAAAAAACATCAGAATATTTTAAACACAGGCTTTTGAAATGCTCTCAGAAGTTGATAGTATTGTAAAGAACAAATCTGTGTTGGCAAAAAAGGAAAGTAGGTTGCAAGTAAGGTCACATCCTTCTCTGATTTCTGATTTAATATAGAGGACAGGAGAAAAAGAAAGCAAGAACTTGGTTGTGTTGTATTATTCTCACCTTTAATGATATTTTCAGAATAATAATTCCCAATAGTGAACCAGCTGACAGACTCAGATGCTGGATGTTTTCCTGCATTTAACATTTCTTAAACTATAAAAAGCATTTCTTAAACATAACAGATTATTAATCACTGTTTACAACCCATGTGCTGAATTTGTGTGAGGTTTTTGTTGAAACATTGTTTTGCTGAAGTTTGTTGGATTTGCCAACAATGAATATTCATATGTAATCCTTCAATCACTCAAAAATACATACAGGATAAAAGGAAGACTAAAAACTTCCTTCAAAAGATATTAATATGCTGCTGGAAAAGAGTATAATCACAAAAGGCTTTCATTTAGTGGCAGTTTGCCCTAGCCTGAGCAAGTTATACTTATTGAAAAATGCAGTCATTTCTACTTTGGATCCTTCTATAAACTTTTGTGGTAAGATAGAAATTCTTACTTACCCTTTCTACTTTCATGAAGTTCATTTTTAACCTTTAATTTTCACAAATAGTCATCAAACCACATGGAGACTGATTCTGCCAGGACATCAGGTACTCCAGTTTGTTCTGTAATTCCATGTTCAGAAATGTTCCTTTAAAATAAAGTATAGCTACCCACTTCTTGAAAGTATGCTCACTTGCTAACAAGAGCAATTTTCAACAGACATTTCTGTACTTGAAGTATGACTCATTAAATATCATTACTGTCCAGTGGTGCAAAGGTGTGATGCCATTTTTATGTACAGTACATATTACAGTGTTTATTAGATCAGCTAGTCCTCTGTAAACCATTGCGTCATTGGCTATGTTTTAAAAGGAAAGGCTGAACAGCCTGTCTATTCAGCCTGGGCAAGAGAAGACTGAGAGGGGATCTGATAAATAGTTATAAATATCTAAAGGGAGGTGGGGGGCAAATGGATGAAATCACACCACTGAGAAGAGTCTGTAGTGATCAGACAAGGAGTGAAGGCCTAGAACTTGAAGATAGGAAGTTGCGTATTAATGTGTGGTAGAACTTCTACACAGTAAGGGCGATGGAGCACTGGAGCAGGTTGTCCAGTGATGTTGTGGAGTCGTCTTCTGTGGAGATATTCAAGACCTGTCTGAACACCTAACTGTGCAACCTATTGTAGGGTACATGCTTTAGCAGGGAGTTGGACTCGATGATCTCTTGAGGATCCTACCAAGCCCTGTGATTCTGTGAGAAGTAAACTTCTCTGATACTTGCTATTTGGTGTATTGGTTTATCTTCTGGAAGGTAGTATTGAGCAGGCTTCACATAACCTGGCTATCTCATTTCATTGCTGAACAGAAAGAGAACTCTGGTAGGTCAAGTAAGGTGTATTAGTGCTCTGGCTATGCCATATTTTTGTTCTCTGGTGATGCAAATTGATGTTATGTACAGTAGCCTTAGGACAGGTATTTTTGTAAGTAGAAATTTTATGAGATAGCAGATTCATTCACTTGCAGTTGTCATGTCCCAATAATAATCATTCAGCTGCTATTAATATCAGCTAAAATGGAACCAGCAATACACAGATAAAGGCTTTTCTGCTATCATTCTTCAGTCTTCTTTATTTGCCATGGAGTTTTTTGACCCTAAGATAATGTTTTGCAGAATAACATTGTTTAACATTTCTGGTATCACTGCAAATTGCACGCAGTCTAACCAAACTATAATAATTATCTAATCACATCTAATTTTCTACTTTGTAAAGTAAAGTACAAGAATAGTTTGAAAGTAAAATTGAATTGATTACATTAACAGCTCACTGACACGCTTCCTGATAATAAACTTTTCTCTAAATAAAAACAAAAAAGCTGAAATTGAACAAAAAGATTAGATACTCTGAAGGGCTGACAGTTTCAATATTTAGCTTAATTACAAAATTAGATGAGTTAGAAAAGATTAATGTACTAGATTATATGGTATTCTAATGTTAATTTCTTTGACCCTTACAACGAATTCATGTTAAAGTACAAAATAATTATTGCAACACCATTCTGCAGCTTCTGCAGTGGGCAGTGTTTGCAGTGACAAATTAAGCGGGTCATCTTCCCAGAGCAAGACAGAACAAAGGTTGAAGAAGTCCTAAAATATGGATATATTAAGACATTTTCCTCCATTCTCAATTTGTAGTAGAGGATTTCTTTTAGATTTCATTTAAAAGATTAATCAATTGGGAGAGCCCCTCATAATATCATTATAACTACTTTATTTTATGTACTGGGAGTTTCAAAGTGAATTATATTCATATTACATCAAATGAAATTCTCATAGAACTGCATGCAATAAGTACAACCAGCTCATGTAAATATATATGATACAGTTGTGAAGAAATACACACACAATGGTAATGACAAGGTGTAAATATGAAGTGCCTTATTTAAGAACAGGAATTAACTAATGACATAAACTCACTAGCTTCTGCATCATGACTCTGGCAGATTATATGCTGATGGTATAGTAGTAAAGGAAACTCTTTTAAGCACATATCCATCAAACAAAAAAGCACTTGCAGAAGTGTGTAAATATTTCATGATAGCTTAATCTCAGTACAAAAGAGGCCTTCTCAGAACATTCAGTGCCAATGACTTTGCCTCCTACTGCTACTCTACTTTCCAATGATCAGATAGTCGTACTGCGTACTGCACTTCAAGATTCAGTTTCAGCCCTTTAGGCTGATACTGCAATTATACTTCAGGAAGAAAACTGTCTCATGAAGCAAAGGAAAGAAAAAAATGAAGGTTACAAACCAAGTCACAAGGTACATTTAAAGCTAGCGTTAGAAAGGTTATGTTACAGCAAAGTCAACAGCAGATGTGCTGCTCCACTATTACTATTCTTAGTTGCTTTGCTTTGAGCACTGCTGTGGGGCGTCCACCTGTTTTAGTTTCTCTCCCATGCCATTATGGTACCAGGCAGTATTCTTTTCTGTAACCATACTGGTCTCTGGAGAGAGAATTTAAAGGATTTAACTAATGCAACAAAGAAACATAAATCATACTTATTGTATCCAGAAAAAAAAATGCTCATCAGAATAAATAAAAATCTTCATG